TGGCCCGGATGCCCGGGGTGTGGAGTCCCGGCTTGGCTTGGCTGGCAGCTCCTGGCTCTCCTGCCCAGCAAAGCCCCATCCAGGAGCGGATTCAGCCCCGTGAAATGCGGCGTTTCTGAAATAGTTTGTCCTTGTTGCTGTTCGTCGGCTTATTTATAGCCTTCGCATCCCCTGTGCTTCCCTGCGCCTCGAAGCAGCAAGCGGCGCTGGGTCGGCTTTAGCTCCGGGCCGATCCCGCTTGGGCAAAAAAAGCTCTGCTCCTGCCCAGCAAAGCCCCATCCAGGAGCGGATTCAGCCCCGTGAAATGCGGCGTTTCTGAAATAGTTTGTCCTTGTTGCTGTTCGTCGGCTTATTTATAGCCTTCGCATCCCCTGTGCTTCCCTGCGCCTCGAAGCAGCAAGCGGCGCTGGGTCGGCTTTAGCTCCGGGCCGATCCCGCTTGGGCAAAAAAAGCTCTGGTTTATAGATTGGTGTTGAAAACAGTAATTAGGCCATTGTGAAGCCTCGAGGAAGGGGGAGACGATTTGATTTCTGCACTTGACCCGTAATTTCTGCTGGGCTGATTCAGAGTGGTTGTGCTGTGGGTGCATCACGGAAACTTCAATGGAGATGAGTGGAGCTAATTTTAACCGTCCACCTCACCGAGGTGTGGGAACCAGGCAGAAAAACGCCTCAAACCTTGTTTCTGCTTCTGGGCTGCTTGTTTCGGGATATTTTTTTTCGCTTGCTTTGCAGCAACTTGTTAACCTAGAAATTAAAAACAGCACCAGGATCGCAGCAGAGAAGAGTGATGGTTTACAACCAACCAACCAACCATTGATCTGCCCCAGCTGCTGTGGGGCACCCGGCATGTGTGAATTACACTGGTTTCTCCCCTTTTAAATTTTTTCTTTTATTTTTAATTCTTTGTTGCTAACATAATTGTTTTCTTATTTATCCCAAGGTTCAGGAAACCTGATTTTTGCACAGAAGGCAGTAGGGAACCCGGGACAAAGAAGAGAAATTGCTGGCAATGATGGGCTGCGGGGGGAGGCAGTGAGCCAGGGGGGCTGATTCTGCACCCTGTGCTTGGTAAGCACGTCCCCGTGCCTATGAGCTGCTTTGTTCGGAGGGTATTTGGCAGAGATTTGCCTGCTCTGACCACGGGACTGGGCAATAAAGCAAGGAACCAAGCAGTATTTATGCCGGCATAGTGCAGGGCCTGATCCTGCCCCTGTAAAATACCCCTTTTTGGTATTTCTGTAGCAGAGATGGAGGGTTTGAATAAAGGGGGTGGAAGGAGCAGCCTGGGAGACGAGGCTGGCCCCTGCCTGGAGTCTGCCATGTGGCAGGGGTGGGTGCATGGTCCTGGTGCCATCCTGCACCCCTGCCCTTGGCTTTAGTATCCCCTATGGGATGAATAGATTAATCTCTAGGGTAACGACTGGCGGGAGGAAATCGTTTCCAAGGAAGCTCGGCTGAGCCGCCCTGTGTTTGCAGGTGTGCCTCCCCGTCGCAGCGTGGCCGGGATGAGGCTGGTGGGTGGAGAGTACGACGCGACGGGGAGTGTGAGCGAGGAGGAGGAGATGAACGCACCTGGCGGTGAGGGTTTTGGGGATGGCCGGGAGCCAAGGGCGAAGCTGCACCTCTCCGGCCGAAAGCTCTCCCTGCAGGAGCGATCGCAGCCTGCCCGCTCGCCCGGGAGCAGCGACGGCGCCAACGAACGCTTCATCTACCCATCCCTCCCTTACTCTCCGGTGACGTCCCCGCACTCCTCCCCACGGCTGCCAAGGCGGCCAACGGTGGAGTCGAACCGCGTGTCCATCACGGGACTGCAGGTGAGGGGGGACGAACGCTGCTCCTGCAGTTCTCCTGCCCCTGTCCTCCTGGTTCCCCCCCGCTGTGGATTGCTTCTCGCTTGGTTTCTTGGGATAAAATCCCGTGGCATATCTGCAGATGTGGGGCAGGAGGCGGTGGGACATCCTGATCCATCCTGGGCCATGGTGACAGCCCTTGGGGAGGTGGGACCCAGTGGCTTGCCCTGTTTTGTGCCATTTGCAGATGCTGCCAGCTCTGATGGCTGCACTTTGGGGGAGCCAGTGGCATGCCACGATTTTCTTTTTTTCTCTCCCTTAAAAATAATAATAAAAAAAAAAGAGATCTGCTGAGAAAATGGCCCTGCCTGCCCCCAGCCTGCCAGTGCTGACAGAAAACAGGCAGCAAGTGGCTGCTTTGCCCATAAGAAATAAAAATACTTGGTGCTGGGTCGCCGGTGTTAAAACCCGCGGGCTCTCCCAGCTGCTGATCCCCACCGCCGGCTGCTTGTTGTGCGTTCTTGTTCCACGTGAGCGGACAATATTGCCTGCCCGGCCGTTAGCAGTTGCAATTAGCCATCTATAAACAGGCCGACGCGTGGCTGGCTGACTGGCCTTCATGGCTCATGAATCAAAGCCGCCCAGCCCTGAGCGGGTGCCCGGGCAGAGCAGAACAGGGCGTGAGTTTGCAGAGAAAGTTTTGCTGGAGATTTAAAAGGAGGAGAGCAAGCGCGAGCGGATTTGTGGCTCGTGTCGGACCCGACCTCTCTCCCCGCAGGACTGTGTGCAGCTCAACCAGTACAAGCTGAAGGATGAGATCGGGAAGGTGAATATTGGCTGGGTTTGGGGTGGGACAGGGGGATTCGGGGCGAGAGGGCGCTGGGCTCGCTTTTGTTGTCACGCTGGTGAGATGGCAATTCCAGCTATTCACCACGGCAACTTGGCCGGCTCCGCACTGCGACGCTGGTCTCTTCTGGGTGGTGCCAATTAGGTTGTGTATATATTTTTTAAAATTAATAATAATTGTCCCCATTCCCCCACCCTCCCACAAAATGGAGCGTTTGAAGCTTTTCTTTGCTGGTGGTATAATGCCAGCCCATGCATCCCACTACCCCCAGCATTGCTCACCAGCTCCGGGATCCCTGTCGGGCTGGGTTTGCGGAGGAGCCTGGAGCCCAGATTGGTGCTGTGGGTTTTTTTTTGGACTGTCCCTAACTGGTCCCCATGGCTGTGCCCCTCTCCAGGGCTCCTACGGGGTGGTGAAGCTGGCCTACAATGAGGACGATAACACCTACTATGTGAGTTGCGCACGTCCCCTGAGCCTGCAACGGGTGGGTGGGATGGCAGAGGGGGACAGATCCCCTCTGCTGACCAGCTCCATGCTGGCACCACCATCCTGCCGGCCCTGTTTTATCCTTGATTTGCCCCAAATCCCATGTTTTTTCCCCTCTTGCAGGCAATGAAGGTTCTCTCCAAAAAGAAGCTGATGAGACAGGCAGGCTTCCCCCGTAAGTGGCCAAAAGCTTTAGGGTGGGAGATGATCTGGGGACCCTGGGGGCTCATTCCCAACCAGACACCATGTCTTTGCCTTTCCCACAGGTCGCCCGCCGCCCCGTGGGGCCAAAGCTGCCTCCGAGGGCTGCCTGCAGCCCAAAGGGCCCATTGAACAGGTCTACCAGGAGATTGCCATCCTGAAGAAGCTGGATCACCCCAACGTGGTGAAGCTGGTGGAGGTGAGCGCAGGCCAGGCCCTTCCCAAAACAAAAAGTGTGAGGGAGCCTGGAAGCTGTGGGGATGGGCTACACGTAGGCTTGGGCGGAGGGGAGCGACCACAGAGGGGCTGGAATGGCCACAGCAGGTCCTGCCTACAGGAGACTCCTGTTTTCCCTGCTCTAAAAGTTTTTTTTATTCTCACCTCCCAAAAGAGGATTTTTTTTTTTTCTTCCCTGGCCAGAAGGGGAAATGCAGAAAAAACGTTGCTTCCTTGGAGGAAACAAGTGCTCAGATGGGTTTTGGGGAAGAACTGGTATTTCTGCGGGTTCTGCAGTGCAGCTGCCCTGCCCTCTGCCCCTTGACTGTATGAAATGGTCCAAAAATCAAGAATTAAGATGTGCAGGCTGGGGTTTATTTGGCTCATGAGTTACATGATGCTTTATGTGTATTTTAAATATTTACTTCCTTGAAGTACAGCTATATCTCTGTCCTCTTTTTTTTTTTTTTTTTTTTTTTTTTCCCAACCCTTGTGGGTAGAAGCTTGGAGATTAGCAGACCACGCTAATGGTGCAGATGGTGCAGAATTTAGATGGCTGCTAACTAAAAAAAAATCACAGTGTTTTATTTGCAAGGTTTTTTGGTGCTGTTTAATTTCCTTTCCGCTTCTTTCGGCAGGTTCTGGATGACCCCAGTGAGGACCACCTGTACATGGGTAACTGCCCACCGCCCTGCGGTGCTCATGGGGTGTCAGGGGGATTGGGGTTTGCTGGGGCAAAGGCTTCTCCCTGTGTTTCAAGGTGGCTGCGTGCGGGGTTGGGTCTCTTCTCCAGAGCGGGTATGGCCTGGATGTGATGGAGGAGCAAGTCCCCTCCAATGGTTGGATCAAACGGGATCCAGTCTGGGTTCGGAAAGGAGACAGGAGTGCTTTATGGCACTTCATAGGCTTTAATCTGACATCAGGGCATGCTTTGCCATGAGAGGTACCAGCATTTATGTTCTCAGCTCTGAAGCTGAGCTGCTAGAAAGTAGCTTTGTTTCTTTGGCTTCGAGAACAAGGCACGTGTTAATTATCCACAGTACAAACGAGCTCGTTCCCACCCTGCCTTGCAGACTGCAGTGGTTTGCTTGATGTAAATACACACGCATTTGGAGGAGGCATTTCTTTGCCATCATTTATGTTCAGCCTGTACTAGCGGAGGAGTCTGCGATGCCTTCACGGCCAAATGCAGAGGTTTGATCCAGGTGTGGGCTCGGCCTTGGTTTTGCAGGCAAACCGAGAGTTTTAGCATGCCGTGTGGAGGGCACTTCATGATGCTGAAGCTGCAGCACTGAGAAGGTAGTTGGCAGCATTCCCTTAACTGAAAATGGAAGCAACCAAAATGCCACATGCCTTGCATAAGATGGCATCTCCTTTTTTAAAAAATATATTATTTTTAGAATTTTTGTCATTAAAATAATTGCTTTTCTGCTGAGGCTGTGATGCGTAATCACCTTCTCTTTTGTGTTTCAGTGTTTGAACTGGTGAAGCAAGGGTGAGTATAGGAATTCCAGATTTAAACCTACTAAACCATGAACGTGAGACAGCTTTGTGGGTGGCACAGTTTGGCCACCTGAGGCAGGCACAGGACACAGAAGTGATGGGGATGTTCGTGGTGGGTCCCCTACAGGTTTGGGTAGCATCTCCCCAACCCAGTTACAGTTGTGTACACCCCCTAAGTGCCTGCATTTTGGCACACGTGCTGTCACCAGCCAGCAGCAAAGCCTCCAGGACGCCTTTCAGTGCATCCGGATGGGGAACAAGCTCCATTCTCTGTTGCCTTTGCAGCCCCGTGATGGAAATCCCAACTCTGAAACCTCTCAGTGAAGACCAGGCTCGGTTCTACTTCCAGGATCTGATCAAGGGCATCGAATACTGTGAGTGCCTGTGCAAAAAGGGTGGGATTTCTTATCTTTATTTTTCTCTAAACACCTGGGCCTGGACTTTCTGCTGGTGTACAGTGCCATTTCTGGTGGCTTATGCTACTGCACAAGGGTTTTTGAAGCTGGGGCTGGTTGTCGTGTTAGCAGAAAGGCTTACAGCCAGGTGGGGGCTTCGTGGCTTCTTTGCTGCAGACCGGTGCTGTTGCTGAATTGCTTGTTTTTTTCCCTCGGCTGCAGTGCACTATCAAAAGATAATCCACCGGGATATTAAACCTTCCAACCTCCTTGTGGGGGAAGATGGGCATGTCAAGATTGCTGACTTTGGAGTCAGCAATGAGTTCAAGGGAGCCGATGCCCTCTTAACCAACACGGTGGGCACCCCTGCCTTCATGGCCCCAGAGACGCTCTCGGAAACCAGGAAAATCTTCTCTGGAAAGGTATTAGTAGTGATTTGAGGGGTTTTGGACTAAGCTTTGTGGCACATGCTGTCTGTTGCAGATCTAACTGTGCTTTCTTCACTCTGCAGGCTTTGGATGTCTGGGCCATGGGGATCACGCTGTACTGCTTCGTGTTTGGGCAGGTAATGAGAGATTGAATTTTCAGCGCTGTTGGTGGGGGGAGGTTGGCATGTGCCTCCCATGTGCCAGGTACGTGGTGGGGTTGGCACCTGGCAGCCCTATTTGAGCAACCAGGCATTGTCAAGGGGAAACAGGGATGTGTGGGTGGAAATGGGAAATCTCTGCCTGTCTGTGCAATGGGTGCAGCCAAAAGGGCCGTGTTTCTCTTTTTCCCCAGGGAAAAAGTTCTGTGCCTGGCCAGATTTTTTAGGAAAGGAGCTGTTTTAGTAATTTGGTCATTTTTAGTCAAATGTTATTTTCATTGCGTTTAAAAGAAGACATTGATATAATAGGAAAGAAATCTTCTGGTATTTCCCTGTAACTGGCTCCTTGCTTTCCTTCAAACCCTACGAGCTCCCAATGCTCAACTGGCTGCCCCACTGCTGCTTCTTAACAGAGGTTGTCACTTCTCTCATTGCTCTTTTTCTTCGTGGTAGTGCCCTTTTATGGATGAAAGGATCCTGAGTTTACACAATAAAATCAAGACCCAAACGTTGGAGTTCCCAGACCAGTAAGTACTTGTTTGAGCCATTTCTCAGGCGCTGCCTGGGTGGGGCTGGCCTTGCTCTGCTGCGGTTGTGCAAAACTCGGGCTCTGAGCCCTTCTGTTGGCCCTCAGCCCTGGAAATCTTCCTTTGCATTAAATGTGAAGGCAACAACATCTCCTGGTTTGCAGTTGCTGAAGAAGGAGCGATTGAAGTTGCAGAGGCGTTTGAGGGAACAGATTAACCCCTGCAGTTGGGTTTTAGCTTGGGTGAAGTTGGTGTTGGGCTCTCTCAGCCCCATACACATGGGATCACACTTTGGATTGCCCAAAAAGGGGATATTGTGCTTCCCTGGGGGGTTTGGAGAGGAAGGGCTGCACAAGTACCCGGAGCTGCGTCCCTGCCAGGGCTGGGGTCCATCCCCGGTCTGTCTGGGAAGGCCCACGGCGGCTGGCACTGGGGTGAAGAAGAAAGGCAGCATCCATCCCCTTCTCCATTTCATCTCTCCCCTTTCGTTTCCCCAGGCCAGAAATTACAGAGTTCTTGAAGGATTTGATTACACGGATGCTGGATAAAAATCCCGAATCTAGGATTTCGGTCCCAGAAATCAAGGTACTGACTCAACCCCTGGTGTTTGCTGTGGCTTCACTTCTGTTGGGTTCTCCTTGCTCGGCTTTTTTGGGAGTCAGTTTGATCGCGCCAGGCTAGGTCCTCCCCCTGTGCCCAGGGCCCCTGGGCAGGTAAGTCCCAGCTCCTTCCCCTGCTCCGGGACCTGCTCAGCTTTGGGACCTTTGGTGCCTACAGAAGTCAGAGGCAAAAGGAAATCCCCTGAGTACAGTATTTCCTCTGCTACCAGGAAAGTACTGTGCAACAGCCTTTCGCAGGAGATTTCTGGTCCTCCGCCCCTGTGGGAGCCTGGAAGGGGCGAGAAGCTGAGAAAATGCAGACTAAGGTAGGGGGAAAGGATTGCGGGGGAATTGCTGAACCATTTTTTGCTCCTCCTGCAGCCACCCAAGATACCAGGTGTGTGGGCAAGGAGGAAGAAGGGTTTCTGCCTTCTGTCGTGGATTAATTCAGGTCCAAGACTAGGGCTCGGTGGGTCTCCCCATCACTACTTCTCATAGGTATGGTCTGGAATAAATAGCTCCTGCGTCTTGGCGCTGTCTCATCCGTAGGGTGAGAGTGCAAATAGGTCTTCCTCCCTAAAACCCACTGAGATGCCCAGTGCTGTAGGTCACCAAGGTTATTGCTCGGCTGCGTAGGTGGGGCCAATATTGGCTCCAGATGAGCCACACCACAGCATTTTCTGCTCCGGGCTGAGCCGTTCCTGGCAGCATTCCTGGTGAGCTGGCTCACCAGTGAGAGGGTGTGTGCATCTCTCCCCTGTTCCCTGGTATTTCAGGAGCACATAGGGGCCATAGCTTGGGCAAGGAGATGCGTTTGCCAGGCTTGTGTTGTTTGAGTTATGAAAAAGAGGAAATCATTCCTGACAGGCTGTGTTATTAATTGAAGTTGCACCCTTGGGTCACCAAGAATGGAGCGGAGCTGCTGCCCACAGAGGATGAGAACTGCACCCTCGTCGAGGTGACGGAGGAGGAGGTGGAGAATTCAGTCAAGCACATCCCCAGCCTGGCCACCGTGGTGAGTACGAGGGACGCGATGGTCTGTGGGCACACATCGGGGCCCGTGCTGCCTCCCAGGGTGGTCCCAAGCAGCTGGAGGTTGCTGCTGAAGGGGAAAAGTGTTGGGCAGGATTAGAGCAAAGACCCTCCCTCTCTTGGAAACAAGCACTGCAAAACGGGGTCTCAGCACCTCGCTGGAGGTGGCTGTACCCTGCAGTGCGGGGGAATATATCAGAGCGGTCCCAAAGGGACCCATCAGCAGGTTGCCGGTCTCCACGCTTGAGCTGGCTGCCTAAATACCGCTATATTTGCTCAGCACAAAAGAGCATCTGGTCCAGGACCTGCCCGTGGCCAGGAGTGGGTGTTTTGGCCACACACGAGGAGCTCCTGCCCTGCCTTGCCTGTCTGGCCGTAGGGGCTGTGGGAGCTTCCCGGGATGGAGATTTTATCTGGGCCACAGCACGCGCCAATCCCTGCCTGGAGCTATTCTTGGTGAATTCATCTCATCTCTTTTCAAGCTCATATTTTTATTCTCCGCAACCCACTGCGGTGGTGACAACCACAGTGTAACCCTGCCCTTTGTGGAAAGTGAAATCCTTTTGGGTTTTTTTTGGGTGCCTGCTAGCCCTTATGCTAGGAGAAACAGCGAGTGACCATTCGCAGTTCCCTGGCACAGCATTATCTGCCTGTAGACATCCAGGCTACGTCTTTTTTTGAAGTACGGGTCTTCCTTTGAAGCCCCTTTTCTGCCTCGTTGGTGTTCCCACATTTGGCTCCATTTCTGGAGTTCTGTCCCGCTTCAGTGCCCTGCAGAAGTCTTGTCAACCGCGGATACGTTAATATGCAAATGTGCCTTGCGTTGCTCAAGCTGAAAAAGCAGATCTTGCTCTAAAGAGATCACCATTGATGAGGGGTTTTCTCCCTTTCTCCTGGTCGGAGGTGACTTGCTGTGAGGCAGCAGAGGATGCCTCAGTGCTCCCACCCGCTTTGAAAATCCAGGTGTTTGTAGCACAGCTCAGGGCAAAGGAGCTTTTACTGCAACTCTTGCCTCTTAAATAACATACCGCCTCCAGGCAGATCTTGTATTTTCCCATTTGCATTTGTTCTTCAAAATTACCCTCCAGTGCCTGATCTTCGTGCATCCAACTGCAGGCATTAACGCTCGAGTATGAGATTCACGTGGCTTCAACTCTTGCATAAAATGCCTTCCCCCGCAGGACCCTGCTGGCATGGTGAGCAGAGAAATAAGGCACAGAGGGATGAGAAGCAATATCAAATGAAGCCAGGGGTTCCCAGAGCAGGATGCACATGCTGAAGCAGGGTCCAGTGCTGCTCACGTTGTTCTCTGCTCCCACCAGCAAAATAAGTTGGGGGATGCCTGGGAAGAACCCCAATACTTGCTCTGTTCCCAGCAGTCTCAGATTGCAGCTGACACTGGGTAACTTCGTGTTTTGCAGCCAAATGACCAATATTTCAGCCTTGGTTTGGTAAATGTTAAGGCAAAATTGGGCCGGTTCCTTCCTTCCCCCCTCCCTTTCCAATGAATTCTTCTGCCAGGTAATCATGGGGAACTGGAAATTTGTAGGTTTTACTGATTACTGCATCCAGTACCTACTTCTGCAGGGAGAAAATCTTCCCAGACTTGGCTTTGCTCTCCTTTCCAGCTTCTCACACCTGGTGTGGCTCTCATCTGCATGTTCAGTTGTGGGACTGTGGGTTTCAGATGAGGGTATGGCAGCTGGAGACTTGCAAACATGCTTCCTTCTGGTTGGTTTTTTTTTTTTTATAAGAGAACTTTGACTTGTTTTCACTTGTTTTCTTAATTACTTGGGCATGAGGGTTGGCTGTTCCTGTTGCTCTTGAATGAAAGGAAAGCATCCCTGACGAACTCCAATCTGGTCTTGCAGATCTTGGTTAAAACGATGATTCGGAAGCGATCCTTTGGGAATCCATTCGAGGGGAGCAGGAGGGAGGAGCGGTCGTTGTCTGCTCCTGGGAACCTGCTGCCGTAAGTGTCATTGCCTCGCCTCGGCCCTGAAGGACGTTTGCAGCTTGTCTTGTGCTCTGGAAATCACTGCAAAGCACAGGAGGAGAATTCAAGGAGTTGGGCTTTGAATCTTTGGTGTGGGGCCATGACCAGGACGTTCACACACCCTCTGTCTGACCTGTAACCACTTTGTGGGATGGTTTTTGTGACATGGCATATCCTGCGCCTCCGATGGACTGAAAAGCATCTTTTTATGGCACTTCCAGCCTGTTACAGGGGAGCTGGGGGGAGACAATGCATGCTCAGTGCCCCAGAGGTCCTGTGGTGGGGAAGGGGTGGATGCTGGTGTCTCACTCTCTGCTTTGCCTTTTTCTGGGTCGCTCAGCAACTTTTATATTTCCTTTTGAAGCAGGAAACAAGGCAGTGAAGATAATCTGAAATGCAACGATTTGCCCAACGTGGGAGAGGAGGAACTTCTTTCTTGAACATCGACTTTATGGTTCTGTTGAGCCTCTTGGGCCGGGGCACGTTATTAAAGTGTGCAGCTAAGGATGAGCGGCGTTAACAGAGCCTACACCAAACACAGCATGACATGGCGCTATTTCAGTATAATGCTGGATGTAGAGCTTACATAGCAGCATGTTATAAGACATCCGACTACTTGTCATAAACATTGAACATGATCGCTTGGACTGCTGACTTCTTGTGGGAAAGGTGCTGGCTGGTAGCAGAGAGGTAAGCTATCGTGTGGAGCAGCAACAGTGCTTTGCAAAAGAAAAAGAAAAAAAAAAAGCACTCAAACAAAAATGCATTTGGAACTGCTTTTACCTGGTTTTAATGCCAAATAATTCCCAGGGACTAATGCCAGCGTCCCGGGGGTGTTGCACGCCCATCGGGTGGTCGGTGGGCACACGCAGAGGGTGAAGCTTTTGCCAAGCGGCATACACAACAGTACAACTACACGTGCGCACTTTGAGAGTTCACGACCTACCGGAAATGTTGTTGCATCTATTTCTCGTCGTTCTGGTTTGTTTTTAATTGACACCTTTTTAACTGCATGGGAACAACGCAAAAACCCACCTTTTCAGCTTTTTAAAGAATGCCTACCTTTGTGAGCCAAGTTATATTAAACAGCATCTTCAGGACGTTCAGAAAGTGAAGTTAATTACCGGCTAAGGTAATTAATGCCTTTCCTAAGGTCTTGGTAGGTTGAGTTTTCAGTGTATGAAAGGAAAAGGTATTTAAGGGCTTAAGTTCAGTCTGAACTATTTTTTGCTGCAGACATGAGTGAAAGGTGGTTTTTAGCTGAATGTTTGTTTTGAACAGCAGAGGAAGCACTAACGACAGTTTGTTTCTAAATCTTTTACTTGATCTAGGTAGATATATTATTAAATATAAAATTCAGGGCAAAATCCTTCACTTCCATGTACATTACATGGTTTACTACAATTAAAAATAATACAACTTATGCTATTTTTTAAGTATAGACTTAGGGCTTGCTTAGAATTTAAGATCTTGATGAAATACTTAGATTAGCTGGTAATTTTCAAAGAAACTTTTGTTTTCCAAACTCTTAATCTGGATTTTGGGGCCAATGCTATGTATTTTTTGCAAGTTCGTTACCAGTAATTTGTGAATGCCTGTGGATCAGAGGCTTGTTAGTAAATTAAGTGTATACCTAATTCATGGGTTGTTTCTTATGATGAGCTCTTTCACCTTCAGTCAGATTACTCTGATTATTTTGTGGTGCTTGTTAAAAAAAAAAAAAAAAAAAACCGATCGTGTGGTGGGAGATATTCTGATGTCCAGACTCACTTTCCCAAGTTCTCTGTGCTTGGACGAAGCTGGAGAACGGCAGAGTGTGGGTGAGCTGGAGAGGAGTCAGGGTTTGCTTGGGGAAAGGGGTGAGGGTAAGTACAGTTGTTTTGTGGATGGAGCATGGGACTGGGCAGGGGCCAGGGGGGAAGGTCTGACTTCTTTTCTGAGTCTGATGGGGTTGTGTGACCTTGAATGAGGAATTTAAAATGATGGTAAAAAAAAAAAAAAATCGATCGTGTGGTGGGAGATATTCTGATGTCCAGACTCACTTTCCCAAGTTCTCTGTGCTTGGACGAAGCTGGAGAACGGCAGAGTGTGGGTGAGCTGGAGAGGAGTCAGGGTTTGCTTGGGGAAAGGGGTGAGGGTAAGTACAGTTGTTTTGTGGATGGAGCATGGGACTGGGCAGGGGCCAGGGGGGAAGGTCTGACTTCTTTTCTGAGTTGGGAGATATTCTGATGTCCAGACTCACTTTCCCAAGTTCTCTGTGCTTGGACGAAGCTGGAGAACGGCAGAGTGTGGGTGAGCTGGAGAGGAGTCAGGGTTTGCTTGGGGAAAGGGGTGAGGGTAAGTACAGTTGTTTTGTGGATGGAGCATGGGACTGGGCAGGGGCCAGGGGGGAAGGTCTGACTTCTTTTCTGAGTCTGATGGGGTTGTGTGACCTTGAATGAGGAATTTAAAATGATGGTGTGGCTGACAGAGGGGGAGGATTCAAATGTCCCAAGCGTGTAAGGGACTGCTGAGGCGTAATTCTTTGCCCTGAGGAAGAAGGCACTAGGAGAAACCCAAGTATTTTGGTTCATGGTAAGAGCTCTGCCTGCTAACTCTGGCCATCGGTGCCCTGCCTTTAGGAAGCGACTGTCCCCTTGTCTTCCTTGATCCTGGGCAGTGCAAGCAGCTGAGCACTGAGGTCCTTGGCCCTGCTGCTGTTGGACCTGGCCTAGTAATTCCAAGCTAGGATGGGTCTTTGTTAAAGCTGGCGTAGCATTAGCAAGTGCGCAGGTGCCTATACAAACTGTCCCTTATGTATTTTGATCACTTGAAGCAATGCTCTCCCTAAATCGCAATTTATTACTGAAACATTGTGCTGCTGGCCTCCCTCCAAAGCCAGTGACGATGGTTCGTGGTTTAGGAGCAGTACTTCGGAGTTTGGAGCCATAAGACACGCACTGTTTTCCTCCCATTTTAGTCCGAGGCTATGCCAAAGCCCTGCAGCTTCAGCTATGGGAAAAAACAAACAGGTAACTTGGGTGCCAGCACTACTACAGCTGCCTGCTCCCTCTTTTCTAAACAGGACTTTTCATTGTGGAAATGCATGTGAGCAGGCAGCTTGGTACTCTAATCTTGTAAATGTACTTGTTCTGCCAAAAAAAAAAAAAAGGGGGTGGGGATCTGATTATTTATAGCTGGTGCATAGTAATGTGTGTGGTGTGTTTTGTTAAAGGTGCATTGTAGAGATGCTCTGTGCTGCGTATCTCCGGGGTGTGATTTGTCAGGTGCCTGGTGAGACAGTTTACATATTTACCAAACAAACAGGCTTGTGAGGTGCAGCGCAGCTTCTGAACAGAATAAGCTGTGCCAGCTCCTCCATGCCCAGCCACACAGTTACTGGGCCTCCAATATTACGATAGATCGGTGTCTTACGGCTCGCACGGGCTTGGTTCGTAAGCATCCTAAAGCTCAGCACTTCTCTAAGGTGCTCTCCAAGATGATTGCCTCTTAGTGCCAGCTCCGGTAGGGCTGTAGCCAAATGCACATTTCTGAAAGAAATTTGGTGTAGATTTTTCTTATTGATTGATTAGTTCTGTTGAAAGCATAAAGCGTGGCTGTGTGAGGAAGATCTATCTAAATGCATGACCTGTTAGAGAAGCTGTGCTGTATATATGAGTCTGCTCTGTTCCCTAGCTGCTGTTCCCTAGTTGTAGAGCTAGCTTTTTTCTTATAGTGAAATAAACATCTTGCTTGTGCCTTGGAACTGGGCTACAGCTTGATTTCCCCAACCCCCTTCCTTTCAAGCAAGCCCAGTGCTGACTGTAGGCTTAATGCTGGGTACTGAGCCTTTTGGGCTGCGAAAGCACAGGGGAAAGTGCTAAGGGGAAACCAGGCCTCTTGTCTTGAGTAGTTTTTCTTGGTGGTCCCCTCTTACATATAAGGCAATTGATCTGTTTCTTTTCTAAGGTCCTGAACTATTGCTGATTTTTATACTGTTTGTTTAATGACCGAGGCTTGTGTTTCAGTCCTACCCCTTTATTATGCATTTAACTTTATCAGGTGTATCAAGTTTAAATACTGTGTATTTACCACTTTTAAATTATATTACCTAAGAAGAAAGAAGAAAAAAAAAAAAACAACCCTAAGTGTTTTTCCACACAGCTGTTCAAGCTTCTCTGTACAAGTTGAAATAAATGACATGCAACCAAACCCAGAGTTAGTTGATCAAGTGGACCCGTTATCCCATTTGACTGGTCTTTATCAAGCTATCACAGTTTGCTTGTTGGAACAGGAGCCTGAAAGCACCTTCCTGGTGCTCTACCATTACTGGGGATCTTGGGCTAGGATAAGCCTGCAGTGGCTCTAGCCACTGCATAATCCAAACCGAGCCATTCACATGCACAGCCTGGAGTGCTGACTCTTGGAAAAGCACCGTTTGAGTTGTGACACAACAGGAAAATAAAGAATAAAACAAAATTATAATGGTACAGCAAACCTACTGCACTGCTGGAAAAAGGCAGCCAAGCCCCAGGCATGGTGCCAGAGGTGTGGAATAGGTCCCAGGGCTCTGTAACACTATAAAAGGTTCAGAGAAAGGGAAGACCTGTACCTTGGATGCCAGTGCAATCACTAGAGATGCTTAAGGTCATGTGAAGGTAAAAGCCAACAAGTTCACTTAAATCAAATTGTGTAAACCCACTAACTAACTGCAGCAGCCCAGAGAGAGGGTCTGGGGGTGGTGGTGAAAAGCACACAATGCACACCAGGGAGCAATAGATCTGTTCTTCCGCCCACTTGGTGCTAGGGCCATGCTAGGCTAACCCACCCTGGCCTCTAACTTTCAAGTCTTTTCCCTTGGATAGGGTTGCAATGCAAGGTATTAGGAGAACCAAGGTGGAGCAGAAGCTGCAGTTGCAACAGCACTCTTGCTGAGAGAATCAAGAGGCAAAGCAAACAGCAGCCCTGGCTTTGATAGCTCTCCCGTAACCAGTTGCTATCTATGTAAAATGAAGACAGTTCACCGACCCTAACCTTCACAGGCCCCAGGGAAAAATAAACCAGCAAAACACAGCTTACAGGACTCCAAGAGGGCTGAAAGAGAGAATATTTTAATAAAAGAAAGTAAATTTTGAAGTAGTACCATAAAAATTCGACAAAACAGAAAAAAAATTCTGTAACCAGTAAGCCATTTACCATAGCACAATGGAATGAGACACTGCTTTGTTGCAGTCTGTGGCCACTGGAGCTTGGAGACACGATCAAATAGTAGGCACAGCTAAGCATCACGATCCTTCGGGGCAAGGGAAAGTGATGTGACAACAGCAAGGAGCTGTTCTCCCAAGGTTAGGCAACACCCAGCAGGGGCCACATTCACTGTAAGGAAGAATCGGTGCCTGTTACCCTGTGCTCTCTGCTATCGGTGAGCTCAGGGAAAGGAGGACTGTCAAAGTTACAGTCAGAACAGTCCCTGTCCCAGGCTTACCCAGTACAGAGGCCTGGCATAAAAGCACAATTCTCCCTCTGTGCTTAGTGCAATTAACCTGGAAAAACAGCAGACGAGGAACAGAGCCAGTTCTTATCTCTAGGTTTGGCTCCAGCCACCAAAACTAGTGAAGAATAGAGAAGTAGGTCCCTTTCTCAGGTTTGTTCCCCTCGTCCTTCCAACGAAGAGGGGGTGCGTCTCATGGCAGGGTCAGAGTAATGTTCACAGCAGCAGTTGGTGCTGTAGCAGCAGCAGGTCAGGAGTTTGTTCCTTACGTCTCACTGACTCCCTGCAAGGATCAGAGATTACAGTTCTCTGCCAGAAAACTCTTTCTCCCCCTTCCTCTCACATAAAACCCTCTGCACAGGCAAGCTACTCTCCACTACTCAGACCACATTTCCAGTGCCACAAAGCAAGAAATCCACCCTCTGCAGCAACACCTCCCACCAAGCACAGCACTGCAGGGATGAACTCTACCCTCAGCACAAGTGACGCAACCCCACTACATCCTTCTACTGGCTGAAAGGATCATTTGGAACCTGAAGGGAGGTATAGCTGTGGCTATCAGCATGTTGGTCTCAGAAAATGGCAACCCATGGTTTGCTCAGAGCAGCAGGAACCCCCAAAAGCCACGAAGGAAAGATTTGATGGGGACAGAGCTGTTGTCTGCAGCTCTCAGAAGGCAACTGCCAAGGACTGCAAACCCAAAAAAAGAGGTGCAATGGGAACATGGCAAGTTCTTGAACATACATTTCCTCTCTCCAAGAGTGGTTGCCCAGGAAACATGACAATATTTGTTTCTAGTGCTCCTCCCTGCAACAGCTTTGAGGTAGAAATGAGCTCTGAGGAAGACAAAAGTTTCTTCAGAGCTGTGGTTCAAAATCCCCGTTTGATGTGGGCTTTCTAAATCCTGTTTCAGAATCTCTCCAGAGTCAGCAGAGTAAGCAACTTTGACTTCACTCTGCCTTTACTGATGCTTACCAGTTCATAATCCTCCACATACTTGTATTTCTTCTCCCGATAGTAGTATTTCTTCTTCATGCAATACAGAACAACAATGTCACAGAGCACTGTTGCCTAGCAGAGATTGAAAGAGTTTAAGACAACGATCCTCAGCACTGAGGCACTAATCCGTAACTGAGTCCAAATGCAGATAGTGTCACTTACCATGCCAAACAGCGCTAAGCCAGAGCCAATGTTAATCATTGTAGGAATTATGTCAAATTTTCCTGCCTAGAAGACAGTTACAAAGGTGAGTATGTTTTTCAGCACCTCTGAAAGCTCTCACCACAAGACCTCCAGGAATTAAGTCACCCTACCTTTCCAAACACTATGATGTCAAAGCGGATGCCATAAGCTTTGACAAGTGTCCGTGATTCAGTGCCATTACTATCCTTGTAGTATTTTGCAAACCTGGAAAAAAGATAGATCAGAGCTTACCTGGAAGTTTTGAGGTTGCTACTTTGATCATGCAACAGCCAGGTGTGTCCCCCATCCCAAGAGGATGGGCT